GTGGGGGTGGGCGGGGAGCTCGGCTTCGGGTTTGGATGACATCGGTCCCTGGTCCGAGGGAGATGGGCCGCGGTCTCAGCTTCTCCGTGACTTTGAGTGTTGAATAAGCCACTGTAGGGTGATGTCTGAGGAGGCAAGAGAGAAGGTTATAAAACCTTTAGGCACGGGGTGTGCTGGGGCGGCGAAGCAGCTGGGCAGTAAGCCCAGGCTTCCCACCCTGCAGCTGGGGACCAAACCTAAGGACACCAGAAGCCCAGAGCTGTCAAGCTTCACACTGCGCTGAAGCTTCACACAGATTCCTCGAACGGTGGAATCTGAGCGCTATGAACGAAAGAGAGCCACAGCATGTCAGAGCCAGAGGGGGCCTGAGTATCACCTGGTCCACCCAGTTCTTTGACGCTGAGGCCCAGAGTGGGGACTGATTTGCCCAAGATCACACAATCAACCGAGGCCGAGGCCGAGCAGGGACAGTGCTCAGAATCTGGGCCTACTGGCTGCCTGGGCTACCCGAGAACCACAGAGCTCTGGACTTAAAGGAAAGCTGCAGAGTGAGAACCTCTCAGGGCCACCAAAACACCCAGAAATGTCTCTCCCTTCTCCTCCCTTCCCCAAGGTTACTTCCTAAGATGCCGGCAACTCCTCCAAACCCACGCACCAATGTTGTCCTTTTCTTTGCAGGAGATGGAGTAGCAGCAGATCTCTCGGTCCTGGATGGCAGACAGATTCCTGGGGAGAAACCAGAGTAGAGTCTGCTGAGGCTAAGGCTGCCCGGGGGACTGGGGCTAGGGGAGGCCAGGGTCTTCTTACTCTAGACTAGAGGCTACAATGGGGGAGGGTGAGGCTCCTGGAAAGGCGAATTCTGCTGCCACCTCGTGGCACATTCAGAGAACAGCAGCAAGCCCAGCCGGCGGGTCTGCTGCCGGGGCACTGGGGGAGCAGAAAGTTTAAGATCCTTCAAACTCACATTTTCTCAATCAGCTCCTTCTCATCCAGCGCTCCTGGGAGGTCTCGCTTGTTACCCAGGACTAAGACCTACAGAGAAGGGAAGACGAGCATTAGATCCAGGTTGTCTGGGCTCTGAGCTGACCTCCTGGATCCCTGTTTCCCGTCTCCACCCACTCCAAGCCAGGCCCTGCCTCCAGACCCGCCCCCGGTGACTCCCAGCCCAGGTCCTTCCCTCCCACTCCATCAGGCCCGCTGACCGGGATGCCCTGAAGCTGAGGTTTGTCCAGTAGGTTGTGGAGCTCATTCTTGGAGGCCTCAATCTTCTCCTGGTCAGCAGCATCCACCATGTACCTGAGGAAAAAAGACCAGGTGGGGACAAGCACCATGACACCATAGGCAGAGAGGCAGGAAGGAAGGGAAGGGGCTGCTGCTTGCAGGGAAGAACTCTGCTCCAGCTTGGTCACCTCTGGGTCTCTGGGCCCCCAGCCCGGCCAAGGCGGGTGCTCAGTGAAGGTTTTCTGAATCCATGGGAGTGAAAAGCCACACGGACTCCTGAGCCTCCATTGCCCTGTCCTCCAAAGTCCAACTCTGGGGAGGCTGTTACTCATGTGGCAAAACATGGGCTCTTTGGAAGTAGCTAGAAGTCCCTTCCAAAGTGACCCACTTATGTTTTCATGCAAAGAATAGATAAAGTTAGAGTGGAAAAAAAGCAAAGGAAACCCCAGAAGATTTGCGTTCAGCAAGATACTTGTTTTTGAGTCGGTGTCTCACTCTGTCACTCAGGCTGGCATGCAGTGGCATGGCACGCTGATCACGGCCACCGCAGCCTTGACCTGCTGGGCTCAGGCGATCCTTGCGCTTCAGTCTTCCAAGTAGCTGGAACTACAGGCGTACGCCACCGCACTCAGCTAATTTTTTAAAATTTGTTGTAGAGATGGGGTCTCACCATGTTGCCCAGGCTGGTCTTAAACTTGCGGGCTCAGGCAATCTTTTTGCCTCGGTCTCCCAAAGTACTGGGATTACAGGCATGAGCCACTGTGCCCGGCCGGCAAGATACTTTTGTCAGATTTAAAAAAACCCTATTGCCGGGTTCGGTGGCTCAGCCTGTAATCCCACGCCTTGGGAGGCTGAGGTGAGTGGATTGCCTGACCCCACGGGTTCGAGACCCGCTGGGCAACTTGGCAAGACCTCATCTCTACAATAAATAAATGAAAAAAAAATTAGCAGGGCGTGGTAGCAC